ATCTAATTTCACTTCTAACCTTAAGCACTGAATGTGGCTAGGAGAAGGAAGGTGTTGTTTATTTCAAACACGTCTACACTGATAGCCACAGGTTGTCTCTCTCACTTGTTAACCAGCGCTAATGACGTGGATGATACCACCAGACAGGCGTGAAATTAGTACATAATGGAGCGTGTCTCGGAGCGTCATTAGTGACCGCGTCCAATGACATCCCCACCTGTTGACAGTCATAATCAGCTGACACTCACACAAACAATAATGATGACATGTGTTGCTGTGTGCAAAGGTCGGAGAAGGGGATGGGGTTGTGTTATGCTTGGTGGGTGGAGGTGGGCCAGTCTTTAGAGTGATTGGTGAAGGTGTGTATTTCATACAAATCATCATCCTATACAGGTCTACCTCATAAATGTTTCTCGAACAAGTAACTTAGAAAATGAATTACTGTATCTGTAATTATTATAATCTTAATGGCAAGTCTTTTCAAATATATTAGATAATACGATGTTCCTTTGCTGCCATCAATAATGCCCTCAATGTGACATAACATAACATCCGTTCCACTAAATGGCCGTAAAACACATGGGAAGTTACATGAGTCGCTGTAGGTTTTGAAGTTTACCATAGTTGTCCCAAATATTTCCAGTTCAGCTCTGGAAACCCATGGTTTGAAAACCATTGCAATACAGATGATGGTCAATACAAATCACACCAAGAAGGAATACACCTAATCTCATTGACCAAAGAAGGTAATGATATTTACAGCAGATGTGTACAGTTACTAGAATTAGATTGTGATTTTGTGTTACCTGTGGCCACAGTGCAGGAACGAACCGTGTCTATTTTCAGTGTTTTTGTCTACGGGCGATACACTATAAGAAGTATTTGTTGCCATCCAAATGATTGCTTTGAGGTTTGAGGACATGGTTCATGTTACTTTGCGAACAAAAGCGACAAAAGCCTTTCCAAATTCATAAGAAATCAACAGTGTCTCCATGTACATTTGGCGGACGTTCACAACGAGAGATGCTTGAAGCTATATAGTGACCTGGCGTCATTGAGTTGGGTTTAACGTCTCTCTCGACGTTATGATGCCAATGAAGTTATTTTTTACATACTTTTATAGTGAGTGAGTTGGGTTTAACGCCGCTTTTAACAGCATTCCAGTTATATCACGGCGTGTCAGCTTAATGTGGGAGGAAAGCCCGAAGTGATGCAGGTCTCAGGCGTTTACCACTTCGGTGAAACCCACGAGCACGGGTATGGTGCTGACAAACCTTAAAAAATAATCGGGGCTAACCGGTATTCAAACATACAATCATAGGTTTCTGGCGTGCCCAAGGGACGCAACTCTGCACAGCGAATCGCGGTGCCTTAGACGACCGGGCCACCCGTGCCCCCTTTTACGTCAGAATAAAGGAGAAACGATTGTGCTTGTGGCAAAATTATCGTTCTTTCTGTCAAATGACAACACTTGGTGTTTAGCTACTTTGGATTTCCCATATTTAAAACCCATTCTTGGTTCCCCTCCGTGGTCTAGTGGTAGAGCGTCCGCCCGGACAACGGAAGGCCCGGGGTTCGATCCCCAGCCGCGTGATACCAAAAGACGTTAAATGATGGTACTTGATGGAACCCTGTCTGGCGCTCGGCATTAAGGGGCTAAAACAAGGACTGGTCGGTCAAGGTCAGTAAACTGTGTCTGAGTGGGGAAAATTCATGTTAAACTACAGCAGCGTATATCAGTGGGCTAGTCCGGATTAGTACACATAAACACACATGCAAGCATGATGTTGCTATATAAGTGCAACAATTTTGGACGCGATATTAAACCCAATTTTACCTCACCTCATCACCGTGGTGTCCCCTGCCGAGAAATGGATGGAATAGCGCTAAATGCGGAGTGTAGCCTTGCTGGGTATGGCAATGGTACCTGACTACAGCGCCGGTACATCTACTCAACGGAAACATTTCGGGTGAGGAATCATAGTTCAGGTCGATATATATTTCAGGAATTAAAATATAATAATAAAAACTTTGTTCTTGATCAAGGTCCGCATTGAAGAAAACATCTCCTTGTATCAGAATGGAGATTTTATTTTATGATAACTCTTCTGATGCACCGGAACGCATGAAGCGGCGGTAAATCTCTTCACCTTCCCCGCAGGAACAACAGGAACATCTGCTGTGTTGGTACAGCAACAGAGAACGTTACCATATGATGTGGACATTATATTTGACATTATACTTTGTGCCACTCCATGCCTCAAATGACATCCCAGTATAGCATCACTACATTAATCGTTTGATCCAGGAACTTGGTTTAAGTGGTATATTAAATAATTCCCCATTTTAGGCCGGTATGTTAACTGAGGAAGAAGTCTGCCCAAACCAAGCATCAGTACTATTAAAAAGCGAAATTTGGGAATCGCTTTGCAGAGGTACAACTGTACACGACCAACCCTCACAATAACACAAGACCTGAGTAAATAAACAGTCAGTTTAACAGACAGCCACAGAGTGTTATACTGTATATAATCAGGCAACAATAGAAATATTTACAATAAATTATTAGAGCATGTTTACAATCAGTTATAGAAGTACATATCTGGGAAGAACATTAGGTGAACATGATATAGAATCATTACACAAGATACATACGCTATTAGTCAAGATACGTACTAGTATTCCAAGGTGCAAGGTGAAGAATCGATCCGTTTATTTGACTGACACAGTCTGAATATACGTATTCTAGCTAGCTACTATATTTTAAAGCAAAGAAAAGCCATTTCATATCGTCGTTAAACACGTTGTTTATATACTTTTTTAATATATATCTGTATATATGTGTAAATAGTAAATTTAGTCTCTCATAACTCCATGTGGAGTGGCTCAACTTTTAATAAGATGCTGTATTTTATAATGTACATTTATTAGGTGAGACTTAAATAAAAACCTGTCTGTCTGTCTCCTACAGATAATCTCATTTACTGCTGAAACTGACGATAAAGTTGTTATTGTGAACTTAAGTGGGGCTATCTCGACAGAATTATATAACTTAGTTTCACCGAAGCATAAAGATAAAGGTGGTTATAGCGAAGTTTAGTAAGAATGATATATTCCCAGTTGCTATTATGCCACGAATGCATACCTTTTACGTGAGATTCCACCAGGGTGGGAGGTAAACAGCTGTAGATACAGAGAAAGGTATTGAAGCCTTCCATGTGTTTGCCTAACTCTATCTGACCAGCACGTTGAGAAATACCGGTCCCGGATTATGTCCGATCTGCGTTATCGATTTGACCCTTGGCAGGTTTAAGAAACTGGAAACTTGTAATATTCCCAATTTCCATCCTCAATATGTGGCATGTAACTAGATAAAACATTTTTAAAACTTGTCCGCTTTGCCCATGTTAATAGTACCATCAACGTGTCAGGTATTATACATAGTCCCTGAACGTTCCGGGTATGATAATATTCCCTGAATTGTTCAGGTCATGTACATGTTCCCTGAACGTGTCAAGTATTATACATAGTCCCTGAACGTTCCGGGTATGATAATATTCCCTGAAGTGTTTAGGGCATGTACATGTTCCCTGAACGTGTCAAGTATTATACATAGTCCCTGAACGTTCCGGGTATGATAATATTCCCTGAATTGTTCAGGTCATGTACATGTTCCCTGAACGTGTCAAGTATTATACATAGTCCCTGAACGTTCCGGGTATGATAATATTCCCTGAATTGTTCAGGTCATGTACATGTTCCCTGAACGTGTCAAGTATTATACATAGTCCCTGAACGTTCCGGGTATGATAATATTCCCTGAATTGTTCAGGTCATGTACATGTTCCCTGAACGTGTCAGGTACTACTATTATCTGAATGTTTGAAGTATTGTACATTGTCCCAGAACTCTTCGGGTTTTACACATATTCTAAGAATGTTTCGGGTCAGTGTTTCAGTCATGCATATTGCTTCATGTCAGCTGCACAGTGGAGGTAGCACAGAACATATCTGCTTACCACTTTGGTGACACCCGTGCGCTAAATACGGATCCTTTGACACACTTGGCCATCCTAGACCCAGATTTATATTCCGTAAATGAGGGCCTATGATACCTCCCGGACATAGACTGCATAATGTATTATGTACTTTAACACTGATACTAATAATTTTAATTCTTCTTGATTTGAACATTTTATCAAGATATAACGTTGGGTTAAACAACAACTTATACATCATATTTGTAAGCTTATGTAGTGTTGGTCATTCATAACATTGTTCGGTAGATATAAATTTCTATTTCCCTCAAACAAGGCTGCATGTATGTCGGACACATGACTAACACGTGTTACACACCTCCAAGGCCGTCCTCGTCGGGCATAATAAACCTATAGGGTTTTGAACAACAGAGCGCCGATATGTTTTTAAATCGATAGATGCACAATAAAATACAGTAAGTGTATGGCGCAATTTAAACGGTATGTTTGACTTAAATATGCGTTGACTTTACAAATATGTATTTGATATTCAGGACTCATTTAATCTTGCAGATCAGTCTTGCATACAGTCAAGTCCCGTTAATCCGACATTGTTGGTTGCGATTACGATAACGAATTAAACATGTTGTAATAAAAAAAGGAAAAAGGAAATATTCATATTGTTGTGTTACATTGTCAGCGGAATATGTTTTCTAATCATGCAACCTCTGAAGTTGCAAAACTACTGTTACAGACTGATTCAAAATACTTTTTAAAGCATAGTCTGGAATGGAAGTCGCGTATCAAAACACGGGGCTGTGTACTCGTGGGGCAGATTACCACGGAGTACGATGATCACTGTGTCGGATTAACGACACTGATTAATGAGTGATTTCAGCAATTCGTCGCAAATGAGGTGTGTCGGTGTCGGAGTGCGAGACTGTCGGATTAAGGGGTCTAAATAGCACTGATTTAATCGGTTCCCATCATTTGTGTCGGATAAAGCCGATTGTCGGATCAACAAGTGTCGGATTAACGAGACTTTCCTGTACATATGAAATGGTTATGATCACCATCATGTTCGTGCCATGCATAGGCAAATCCGTATGTCTGACACATGTTGACACATTTTTATAACCACTTTCGTCAAGACTTCTGACCATATAATAACAGTGCTACTTTCTACATTCAGGCATCCTTAACAACAATTCTGTTGAGAGGTGGGCAGCGGAGTTCCAGAGAGGAAGCAAGAGTCTTAAAATGACCCAAGATCAAGAAGAGCATTAACTGCCACAACTAATGTAAATGTTGATCAAATACACATTATTATTGATTGTCGACGACTCGCCACACGTCACATAGCGAATACAGTAGGCATCTCATGAGAGTGTTGAGAACATTCTAAGGAATGAACGTGGCATAAAAATGGCTTCAGTTTGCTTGGTTCAAATGGTTCTGACTCCTGATCAGAAAAGACCCACCCGCACCCTTCACCCATTCTCCACATCACAATACTTTGTTCACAGGGATTCTATGCTTTTCTTGAATGAATTTCCATCAGGCTATACAGGTAGCCTGGGTGTTGCACTGATGTTTGTTGGCGAGGCTATGTACAAGTTATCGTCACTGGCCCTGAGAATGGCAGCCGTGCGACTTAGTCCACTGATGGACATGACAAGAACGCGACACATGGATAGCACGTGCAGGTCCAGAATGACTTTTTCTAATCCCTCACACGTGTAGTTCTTGGACCTGTCGATATGGACAATAGGTCCTTCATTTTCGATATATGTTTGCGGAAAAGCATTTTGAAACTTTTTTCTAATATTATCCGAATCAGTGGCGAGAAAGATTTTGAAGACTTCCGATTGATTCCATCTTTGTAAAAATGTAATCACTCCTCTTGGCTTTGGTTTCCGGGTTCGCCTGACTTCATCGTTCGGCATAGTCTTACTTCTACCCATACGAAGATGCGCGCATACCAATGTCTTTGCTCCTACCCTACGCTGTAGCGCATTATATCTGCTAGCTGTGGATGGTGATAGTCGGAACAACACCCCAACAATATGTTTATAGATCTCGTATTCACTTTTGTTTCTAGCCCACTCTACTGCTTTGAACAACGGGTTCCTCATCAAATGCTTCACACAGTTAACATTGATTGTCATGTTAATGACATCAGCCTTGAATACATCATTCAGATCGCTGGACTCCATGTCGAGGGCAAACTGTTTGTTGTCAATGACTCGCATCCTCTGTTGGTGTCGTGCCCTGATGTGACCAATGTTCAATCTCCAGCTGACCATGTTGGGCTGCCAGTATTCTGCCAGGTTACATGGGTCTTCCATCACTATACCAAACTCTCGGCCCAACATCTGGGACAGAAGGTACCCGGTCACAAATCCCTTCAGCCGGTCTGACAGCCCCCCAATGTATGATCCAATACACACACATACAATGTACTTCTTCGTCGGGTGAACAGGTTGACCTTGATCGAATGTAAAAGGTCCAGCATCTCCCGGGGCCTGTCTGTGTACATTGTCTGCCTCTCCTTCACCACGAAAGGGAAGTTTATATTTGTATTTGTGTCTCTTCATATTTAAAGTGTAACGGAAGCAGTTGACCAATAACACAGTTGTCCCCACGACACAGCAGAAAAATAGTAGTCTTCGAACCATCTGCTGCAACAGCATCGATAAATTCCATTAAAAAAACCCAGATATTGATGCATACACAGTAAGCACATAGTTTCGGACTCGAAATAGCAAAATGCCATTTGGCGTGATTTTTGCAATATTTATTCTTTGAGTTTCCAAAGAAAAAAGTCACAAGAAAGATGCATTAATAAAGATCTATTTTACGAGATTACGTTTTATACCTCCATCCATCTTTTGAATTGTTTGTGTTGAAAACACATTGTCTATGTTTGAGGTGCATCTGACCCTTTTATCTGACAGTTTGACTACATACATGATGCGGACAGTTTGACTGTACATAGGTGATGCGGACAGTTTGACTTCACATACGTGATACGAACAGTTTGACTGTACATACGTGATGCTGACAGTTTGACTGTACATACGTGATGCGGACAGTTTGTCTGTACATACGTGATGCTGACAGTTTGTGTGTACATACATGATGCGGACAGTTTGTCTGTACGTACGTGATACGAGGGCCACATCGACGTCCTGTGCATCAGTCAATCCGCCACGTTGTTGGTTCACGAGTAGCTGTGAGCATCAGCTTTGCCGCTACTCTGACATCAATAAGCAGCATCTGGTGGCAGTACAGCCACTTACAAATAAAGGCACATCGATGGATCAATGCCATGCCCATGCTGTTGATGTGATATTTCAGATTTCGTAACGCAACTAAGACTGTGATATTTAAGAATTTTTTTATCCCATTATCAGGACCTCCTGGAAGCTTCGATTCCTTTTAGTTCTAAAAGCAATTATTTTTAATAATCAACAAATTTTTGTTTTATCTGGTTTGTGTTTTACCTTGAACAATTTAAAATTTGTTACTAAACACATAACCGTCCTTTGTTGATTTCAAATAAGAAATGTGGTTCGATCAATTTGATCGAATGTAAAAGGTCCAGCATCTCCCAGGGCCTGCCTGTGTACATTGTCTGCCTCTCCTTCACCACGAAAGGGAAGTTCATATTTGTATTTGTGTTTCTTCATATGTAAAGTGTAACAGAAGCAGTTGACCAATAAACACAGTTGTCCCCACGACACAGCAGACAAACAGTAGTCTACGAATCATCTGCTGCAACAGCATCAATAAATTCCATTAAAATAAAACGTATATTGATGCATACACAGTAAGCACATAATTTCGGACTCGAAATAGCAAAATGCCATTTGGCGTGATTTTTGCAATACTTATTCTTTAAGTTTCCAAAGAAAAAAGTCACAAGAAAGATGCATTAATAAAGATCTATTTTACGAGATAACTTTTTTATACCTCCATCCATCATTTGAATTGTTTGTGTTGAAAACACATTGTCTGTGTTTGAGGTGTATCTGACCCTTTATCTGTCCCTTTTATCTGACAGTTTGACTGTACATACGTGATGCGGACAGTTTGACTGTACATACGTGATACGGACAGTTTAACTGTACATACGTGATGCGGACAGTTTAACTGTACATACGTGATACGGACAGTTTGACTGTACATACGTGATGCGGACAGTTTGACTGTACATACGTGATACGGACAGTTTAACTGTACATACGTGATGCGGACAGTTTGACTGTACATACGTGATGCTGACAGTTTGACTATACATGTACATACGTGAGCAAAAGTTCACAAAACTTTTTTTAAGAATCCGCTACGCGGATTCATACAGTTTGCACATCGGTTTTTCGATTCATACCTCAATGAACCGAAAACAATACACAGTCAATCCTTAATTATTTTTTTAATTTGAAGTTTACACGATATACGATTTTTCTATTGGACGAGAGGTCGGTCACATGACCGCGAAATTGACGTTCATAAGTGTATAATTAAATTTTCCATGTTTTCATTGAAATTCCTGCATTCTGATTAGTTGAATTGGTCACGTGTTATTGCCTTCATTTCCCAATGAATGATAAAAATTAAGCCACGCCCACCGAAGCGGACTACTTTTATTACTACGGAATGTCGGGGAATCCTAATATAACATCCCTTTCTGCTCACTTGTATTGCCATGCACTGGGCATTTAGCGACTTTCATGCATATTCCTTGAGACCGTAAGCCTAGAAGGAATGAAACAGCAAATGTGCAGACTCGCTCTCCTGTTTTTGTCCCGCTCGCCTCGGTGCCACAACTTTCATTTCTTCGGGTTTCATTTCTAACAAGCATTTTTCCAACTGGGTCTTCCCGTTCACAGGGAACTAATGTTCGAATCTGGCGGTAACTGACTATGTCATTTGAAACAGCCGCCTTCTCCCGGACATATTTGTTCCGGCTCGTTACAGTCTGACTGCTGCAGTTCTTCTCGCCTCTTGCCTTGATTGACAGGTCCCATGAACTTTGTTTTAATCCTACCCTCCGTTGATTGGCTACTGACTGTGTGAGCGTGTCATGTTATATGCATAAATTAAACAATCACCTGATTCATGTCACGCCACAGTATGTATTCCTACACCGGGAATGTATATCACTCTTTTATATAAACAACTGTTTTTGGTTAAACTATTATATGTTTTCGTTGTCGAATTTAATTATCAGCATTGACTATACATTTTGTTCGGTTCATTGAGGTATGAATCGAAAAGCCGATGTGCAAACTTTTGTAAGAACCGCTACGCGAGGCGATGGTCTATTTGAAAACGTGAATATAAGCTTAGAGTTTTATCGACAAACGCCTCATTGCCACAGACAAGATTCGACAAGTTACATTAAGAACCGAAGTTCTTAGTAAATGTCTCAGTACCACAGAAGTCTACTAACCCGTGTCCTGGACAGAAGGGTGGTGTGGCATTGTCTTTGAATGGTGAGAAATACTTTACTGTCTGGGGACTATTGGTTGATTTTTCTCTTCCAAAACCGCAAGATTATCCACACTCATGTTGACTGATAAGCAGGCATGTGACTGATGTACTGTGACAACTGTGCGTTTGATGCAGTCATCATGGCACACTCCTCATAAAATTCCGGGTAAGAAATTGGTCTTCGGCAACCCATGCTTGTCATACGAAGTGGCTAACGGAATCGGTTGGTCCGGCTCGCTGACTTGGTTGATGCATGTCATCGTATCCCAATGCGTAGATGGATGCTCATGATGTCAATCATTGTGTCGTCTGGTCCAGATTCGATTATTTACAGACCGCTGCCATGTGGCTGGAATACTCAACAAACATTATTACACACACAGTGTCTTGCATATGTTTGCAAATACTTGTTAAGACTGCGCATGTTTGGTCACATGATTATTAACGTGGAACTAGATTTGAACATGCTTTTGGTCGGCCTTTTAAAAAAAGCAGTAGATTGCCTTTGGTGTTGCATCTAAATACCAGTACTCTTACGAGGAATAAATACAATAAACGGCAAAAATGAAGCCTTATGAAAGTTATGTTATACTCTCTATGAATACCACCATGTAATAAGGAATCTATATGGATTTTTTGCCCCATATTATTATCACATTTTACAGATAAAAATTAAGAACAGATTTGGGTCCGGATGTTCTGGAATAGTCAAGCTTGTTTCCGCTCAATCAGCTCAGGACCCTTGCACCCTCTACGGACTACAAAATTGAGATTGTGTGCAGCAACCTTCGCTCGCTTCTAATAGCTGGGGATTTCATTACTCTCAACTTGAGGTTTGCCATGGTTCATCACAGGATCATCTGATAAGTAAATATGTGTAAATGAACATACTACAGTATTTGTCTCTATAATCAAAAGCCAATCACTAGAATTGACTTGCATGTAAGAGCTTGATAGGCAAACGAGGGTAGTATGATATATTATTAGAGTCAATAGCGTTGTGAGACACCTTGTGTTGTCCAATCAATAAACTATTTCCATAATCATAAGTAATATTTCCCAAACGTTGAGGTTCAGGACAATTTGTCAAAAATGACAGGAAATGGTATGTGACCTTTACATCAGAAAACAATTATATATGAAGTGCTGAACTTTCTCATTGATAACATCTGGGCATAAAGTAGGCATCCCCATGTGCACCAATTATGCTCCCTTTCTTGCTGATTTTTTTTAGGTATATGAATCGGAATTTCTGCTCGGAGTGGCAAAATCAAAGCAAGGGGACTAGGCCAAAACGTTTAACTTAACCTTCGGGTATATTAATGTTCTGATATTTTCCAGTAATGTCAAATAGCCACGTTAGTAACAAATGCCCATGGGTCAAGGAATGAAGTTTTTGCTCAAGTTTGCCGTGTGTTAGGAAATCCGACGTCTTGACAGATTGAACTTGATCCTTTCTGAGAATCAAAAATTCTAGCACATGCTTGAATGTTTTAAGAATCCACATGGTATTGATTCCACTTATTCCCCTGAAATTATGGTAGTTAAGGAAAATCAGACAATGTCAATGTCCTGAAACAATAATATAAACTGCCAAAGCAAGAGAATAACCAGCCCAGAGTTTCTGCCAAAACAGCTTACATTTGGCGAAAAGGACAAAATAGCTGTCGAAACTATATGAAAAGACACCCGAAAATCGCTAAAAGGGTAAGCAGGTCCCGACCTACCGGTATCACCTGTCATTCATACAATTTGCATGAAAACTAAGTAGGTATTGCCTGCTGCCACACAGCAGTAATCATGCGATGTCAGCCTGTAAACAAACCAGACAATCAAGTGGTCGATGAACCAGAAACTCAAGTGACACGACAGTACCATTACTGAGTTTTGTTGAAACTAATACAAACGCTATGTTTAATTTTGAATAACGTCAGCTGTGAACAAGTGCAGAGATTTTGCTGCTTAAAAGTAAAAGTAAAACGTTAATAAATATATTCGTTTTACAACACAGTGGAGCGCAGTTTTAAAGTCTCGGCCCAAACATTTGTAGGTGACTCAGCATAGATAATGCCACTGAGCTTATGATGAAACTCGGGGACTTTAGTCCACCACCAGAAACATCGACCCAGTACATATTAATTGTCACTGCAGGAGAATAACCAGCCTAGATTTTCTGCCGAAACATATTCCATTTGGCATTTACGCAATGCCATGTTGCGCCACATAGGTGACTTAAATCTCAGATTCTTGATTTTAACAGCTTATATCAGCTTTCCAGCTTATATCAATGACAAGGAATTCATCAAAGACACTTCTCACGATCTAGCCATAGAACGTGTTGGAGTGCTTAGAGCTAAGACTGCTTTGTTGAACGAGACCCATGTAAACAACTGAATATCTTCTTTATATTAGTATCTCACCTTGAAATTTGAGCAGAAATTCCAAATATTGGACATCTTTGCAAATCATTCACAATAAAATTGACGCGTTCAATGTTTTCTCAATAGTTAATTCCCTCCAAGTCCGTGACACGTATCTTTTGTCACATCACCTCGCAATATTGCTTTTTAATTTAAAGCCAAACTCAAGATGTTCTCAAAACATCGTTTTACTACTTCAAGATGATAATTATGCCCGTGTTTGTAGTTGCTACGAACAACGTGTTTGTATAGATCATGAACAACGAATCACCCACATAACCCGATAAATGTTCATCTTGAATCAATATTGACATCACATGTTTGGTTACAAG